TACGAAATGACACGGTTAGAAATCACCTATGTGAGTGTGAAGTGTAAGCCGCTTCAAAGAGAATTTTATGTCAAAAGCCTATTTTCTATACACTCATGAAATCAAGAAGTGTTCATGGGTGAAACGAACACAACTGTAAGAACCATAAACAGTAAAGGGTTAATTATGTGACATATGGTTGTCTAGGTATACACCAAAGCTCGACGGTTCAAAGAAAATCGCATCTACTGATTGACCGAGTATATCCGACATATGTTCACTACGAAAAGTCCAAGGGGAAACCTACTTATCCAGATGCAATTGATCCTTGCTTGTAAAGTACACATTCGTCCGTGCATTCCTTATGTTATAACCATTCCCCATTCATGTGGGGGGATTGTTGGGTATATAGCAAGAGTTAATGGGGAAAATGGAGGGAAGATGAAAAGAGAGAAACTTGAAAAGTTGGGAACTTAAAAAAGTTGGGAACTTGAAAAGTCCTCTTATGCTTTAGTAAAAGGCAAAAGTACTCATTACCCCCCTGAACTTGAAGCTTTTTATACGGTGTACACCTAAACTAAATTCCATTTTAATTACCCCCCGAACTTGTTTATTCCTCCGTCGCGTACAACTTTTTCGTCCACCTGGCGTAGAAATTGACAACAATCTCTACTAGGCGCGTGAGGAAGTTATTTTTTGCCACATCATAACGCTACAACGATTAAAAAAATCGTAAAATCTTTTTTTCTTTAATATTTGGCATATTTTAAACGAAAAACAGGGTAAAATGTAAATGAAAAGTAAAGGAAACAAAGATTAACACTTACTTGGTAAGAATTTCAGACAAATTTGAAATTTAATCGACCAACTTCACGTCTAGAAAAACCCAAATCCAAAAGGAGTTCCGCGAAATCAGCCCTTATTCAAAAATAACTTTTAAACAATGAATTTTAAATTTAAGAATCAATTTCTACGCCAGGTGGACGAAAAAGGTGTACGCGACGGAGAAATAAACAAGTTCGGGGGGGTAATTAAAACGAAATTTAGTTTAGGTGTACACTGTATAAAAAGCTTCAAGTTCAGGGGGTAATGAGTACTTCTAAAAGACATTTCTCCCTCATCGATGGTGGATAGAAAAATAGAAGAGTTTAAATAGAGAAACACTTCTATTAATTGTTAAAAGGGTTGGAAAGAAGGACCCCTCTCGCACCGTCGTCGCTCGCTCGGCTCGGCTTTGGCTTTGGCTTTGGAAAATGATCGATCGAGAGATTATTTTTTAGACAAAGTTTGTTTTTAATTATTTAGTTAATTATTTATTTAATTAATTAAATTAAATTAAATGGCCAAAACGTTTCAATTAATTAGTTAATTAACCGAAACGTTCTGATCCGACTCGGATCCGCGCGCGACCCTTTTTTATTTAAATTTTTCCGCCATTGGAAATGACTGTTCTGAAAGGTTGCAACTTTCAGGAACAACCATGACCGTTTGAAAGGTTGCAAACTTTCATTAATGGTCGTGTGGAACCTTTCGGAATCAGTTCCTCTTGGCTATAAATACCAATTATTCTTCAGAATTTTTTACTTATGAAAATTTATGATTCCTTCTTCTACTTCTGCACAAATATTTTTCGTGTACTTTACTGTCGTTGAGTGGCTCGCTGACACCAGCATTTTGGGTATCAATACACTGGTGATTGGCAACATATACTTGAAAATGTTTTTACCCTGCATTTCTTTAATTGTTGCCTCCATTCAATAACAACCTCTATAAATATTATAGGCCAGTCATGCATCAAGACAACTTCTTGAAAAATCTTCAATTCTAATATAATATTTAAAAAATTGTTTACGCATTTTTTAGCTTTTATTTTATTATATTATAGTTATTAACTTATACAATTATTTTATAACAATCACAATGTTTTTTATATTAAGTGTGTGTTAGACAATAACAAATGTTATAAAAATAAATAAATTATGTTGTTGTCAATTTGAAACGATTCTCCTAACAAGCATCCATGAGATAGTAATATTTTTCAATTATTCTGTATGTCTTTTACATACCCTTTAAAATGTTTCTTAAATGATCATCAATAACAATTCTTCTCATGTCGCTGATAAATAATCCTTATTCGAGATAAAGAAAAATGATTTTTTGTATATTCAAGATTGTATAATTATACATGTCGTAATTTTTATTTTTTACTTGCTCTAAAATAACATATCTAATTATATGTACAAGAAAAAAATATCAACCTCACTAAAATTATTCACAATGAGAATAACTAAAATTAAAGACTAAAAACATAAATTATCTACATAAATATGTATATATTATTAGTTTTTTTGACATCAAACTAACTTGATTAGATAATTTTAAAAAAAAATTCATATGAAGGTTTGTCTTGAATATTATGGACCTTACCTAGTGGAGCAAAAAAATTCCGTAAATTCCTTTTCGGCTTATATGAATATTTAAGTATCGAAGTAGTCAGGGGCGGCTCAACGTAATTTGAGGCCTAAAATGAAATTTTAATTGAGGCCTAAAATCTATATAAATATCAAATATAGTTGTTTATTTTTAAAACTTTTTAAGTGCAAATTATTACTTGATATCTTTTTCTTAAAAATGATTTTTTTTTAATATCGTTTTTAATTATTAATTTTAAGTTAATATTTTTATTCAATTCAACATTGAAAAATATTCTTTACTGAGGCAATCATTATATAAATTGTTAACATAATACTATAAGTAATAAGTTGACAAACTTTACATAAAGATAAGAATTAGAACCATAAAATTTGATACAAAAAATTGATAACTTGGTATAACCCTACTTTAATATGTTTATGTAATACTTGAATATTTAAGAAGAAACAAACAAAAGAAAAATTGTAAGTCACTTTGTTGAATTTTTTCGACTATTAATTTATATTTTTAATAGTGTATTACTCTAACTTATCAAAAAAATTTAAAGAGAAAGTGCAAAAGAATTTTAAAAAGATAAATAATACGAGTGTTAGCGAAGAGAATGTAAACATACAAAATAATATTTTCTTAAAATCTTCTATTTGATTGGCGTTAAAAATAATATATATTTGTTTAAAATTATACTTTTTAAACAAAATAATTATTTTTTAATTAAAAAAATTAACACATAATTTTTTCTTCATCAAAATTTGAGTCCCCCAAAAAATGGGGGCCTAAGGCATGTGCCTTAAATTTATCAAGCAAGAGCCGGCCCTGGAAGTAGTGATTGGAGTTCGATTAACAAACATGTGGAATTGTGTTCTTAATCTACGAGAATATTATAATTCTCTTTATCGGGAAATTACATTAAAAATATATAAAGTCAAAATTATTTTATAAAGTAGTATATATTTTTAAATATAATGTGTTTTCTTATTTAGAAAGGAAAGGTCTTAAATTTTTTACTAAGTGATCATTAGTTAGCGTAAAAATTGAATCAGATTTTAAAAATTTATTTGACCATAAGATTTATTTAGATTATAAAATTTCATTTTTTTTAATGATTTTAAGTTTTAAAAAAATGTCCTTGAACACTTTTTTGGAGAAACTTTACCCTACTCACAAAGCTTTAATTATTTTTCAAGTAAAATATAGGCAGAACGCATAAGCGGCCCCTTGAACTTGTAAGGATTTCCTTATAGACACCTTAACAAGGACTCCTTCCTATTGAACACTTAAACCACTCAAAAAGTGTACCTATCAGACACACCTGTCTGACTTGGCACTTATCGTGTGAGGCATTCGTTTTAAGCGCGTGAAGTGAGAAAAAAAAAGCTGATGTGTCTGATTGGCACACTTTAACATACTTAACAGTCAAAATCTTCCCCTTTTATTTATCCAACCCTAGATTCTTCCCTTTTATTTATTTCTCTTCTCTTTCTTCTCCACATCTCAACATTGTTGCTACTATAGTGGAGATCAAACAAAAATTCTTCATTCGTCTTCTTCACAGCGAAGAAAATGTCCAATTTGTCGATTTCAACTTCTTCAGATGCAAATGTGTTATGTCGATGTGGGGTCAATGCTGAATTGAAAACTTCATGGACACAACTTAATACAGGACGTCGATTTTTTTGCTGCAAAAACACAAAGGTAAGCTTTTTATCATTATTCTAATCTGGTTAAACAAATCATTGTCAATCGCTAATTATAGTTTAATTATTTTGATAATTTGTGTAGAGAAGAGGTGGATGCGATTATTTTCGATGGTACGATGATGAAATACCGCCTCAAGCAAAAAAGATCATATGGGGTCTATTGAAAAGAATCAAATCCTATGAACAAGGAGAGGAAGCGGGGCAAGAAAAATCAGGATCATATGCGTTTATTGCACTTGTGATTTTTCGCTATATGGAAATATTTTATGTTAGTAGTCTTAGAGTGATTTGTATTAGTAGTCTTGTGTTTTCTGTTGTACTGATTTTTGGAAGAAGGAATGGAGATAAGTTGTTCATTAATCTATCATATTTGCTCATCTCCGCGACGCGGAGGCATCTTTAAATTCCCATTCGCACACAATTGCTCATCTCCGCGAGTGTTCTGCCTCAAACTCGCTTTGTTGAATTAATTTGGAATCCCTCTCCACGACGCGGAGAGGGCACGAAGTGCTCTGCCTGGAATTTGATTTCACGAGCCAAATTATAATTTCTACGGAGATGCCTTAAGTGACGTTTTTTCAAGCTTCTTCCTTGCTTTCTTCACCTCCAAAGAACAATAACCATACTAAGTGAACAACATAATAACATTAAGCTCCAAACAAGCATGAATGATCGACAAAAAATTCTTGGCATTTCCTTGTAAGAAAATCCACATTTAAACCACTAGTTATAGTGTACATCAAAAACATCACAAAACATATATATTAAAGCAGTCTCAGTATTGTTTCCTGCTTGCATTACATATTCAAATAAAACAACCTCTAAGTGTACATCAAAAACACCCAAAACATATTAAAGTAGTCACACCCCTCTGTTCTTGCTCTTGTTGCACTAGACGTTTGCAGATCCACCCCCTTTGGACTTACTCATGCGTTGTAATTGTGGAATGGTGATAGCATCTTTACCCTTCCATTTCAGCCCACGAGGCTTATAACCAATATCAATGTTTGTTGGTGTTGCACACTTGAAAACAGCTGGAGTAACAACTCTTTCACCTGTTGTACCAGGCTGTATACAATAAACTAAAATAAGTGCCTATTATCAAAGTAGATTATAAATAATTGAAGTTGGTTATACTCTTTACATTTTAATGTTTGTCTGCCACTTATATCATCAGTGTAGGTGCCAAATCCCACAGTTCTTAGGTCCTTTTGTTTTCCTCTTGTTGATGTTGATCGCTCCTTCTATTCCCCTACCTCTTCCTGCTTGTTGCCCTCCTGTAACAGTTGAAGTATCATCACCTCCTCTCCCCCCGACTTTTCCCCTGCCTCTTTCTCTGCCTCTTCCCCTGCCTCTTCCAGCTTGTTGAACTCTTCTAACAATTGAAGTATCATCACAAATAGAAGTTGATTGTTGGCCTGAGCTGACATGTTGTGATGGTCTCCAGTTTGGTGGCTGGCTAGAACCTACAGGTTGGCCTAAGCTTGGTGGTTGGCTAAAACTTGTTGGTTTCCTTGAGCTTGGTAGCTGGCTAGAACCTACACTTGAGCTTGGTGGCTGGCTATAACCTGTAGGTTGCCTTGAGCTTTGAGGCTGACTTGAGCTAGCAGGTTGGCTTGAGCTTGCAGGTTGGCTTGAGCTTCCAGGCTAATCCATTTCAGAAGATTCAATAGTGTAAATAAGGAAAAGAAAAATTGTATTGCATTTTATCTATTTAATTGAAGTAATTAAAGGTTGGCTTGAGTATTACCACATATTTGCAGGCTTTATTATTGTGGCCTTGTTGATGACACTTGGAGCAAGTCATTTTTACACCTCTCCTGGACAACTTTCCATACTTCTATCTTGGCTCATCCTTTGACTTTCTTCTGCATTTTGGTGGTCTGCCAGGCATTTGCTTTGGTTCAGGAGGCTCAATCACTATATCACTAGTGTGAGGCCACATTTTCATGTTAGGTATTGGCTGGATAAAGTAATTATAAGCCTTTATGAAAGTATCTTTTTTATACCAATGTACAACATGATCTTCAGGGTCTTGGCCTGCATGCTGATATGCCAAAACAGCATGTTGACATGGTATGCCTCTCAATTGCCAGTATCTACAAGTACATGTCTTCTTTCTGATATCAATAATATGCCTATAATGATTATCTAAAATTTCATATCCAAATTAGCCATTGAACCTAACTTGACAATCTCTAGCATATTCTTTGTTTTCTTCAAGTACTAAACTTGCCATATGAGAAATGTCTGATATCCAAGTGTCAACAAATTTTCTCATCTCAACATTTCTATCTATTATCTTATGTCTAATCTCCTCTAACATGGTGATAATTGATTTATGTCTAGCAGCTAATATCCAAGAATTAAATGTCTCACACATATTATTCTCAACAATATCACACTTAGCATGCTCCTTAAAATATGCTTTACACCATGTCTTTTTTTCATAATGTAACAAATCCTCACAAATCTTCTTATTACCAAGTTTATTAAGTTTGTCCATTTCATCTTGAAATTTTACCTCAAAACTTGATTTTGCACATCTCCAGAATTGTTTTCTTCT